CTCTGTTTTTCGTTTTTCCTTTTGTTCTTTCTCTCTCTCTCTTTCTTGTCTGAATTTTTCATTCTCTGTTCTTTCTTTCTCTCTCTCTTTGCATTTTCTTTTTTCTATATTTTTTATCCTCTCTCTCCTTCCTTGAATTTTTCATTGTCTCTTTTTCGTTTTCCTTCTATGTTTTTTATTCTCTCTCTCTCTCTGTTTGTGTCTTTCGTTCTCCCTTTCTTTATATTTTTCCTTCTTATATTTTTTCATCCTTCTTTCTGTCTGAATTTTTCATTATGTCTCTCTGTTTTTCGTTTTCCCTTTGTTTTCTTTTTGTTTTCTCTCTCTCTCTCTCTCTCTCTCTCTGTATCTTCTTTTTCTATATTTTTCGCCCTCTCTCTTTCTTGTCTGAATTTTTCATTTTATCTCTGTTCTCTCTTTCTCTCTCTCTTTGTATTTTCTTTTTTCTACATTTCTATATTTTTCGCTCTTTCTCTTTCTTGTCTAAATTTTTCATTCTATCTCTGTTCTCTCTTTCTCTTCTTCTTTGCATTTTCTTTTTTCTATATTTTTCATCATTCTCTCTCTCTCTCTCTCTCTCTCTCTCTCTGCATCTTCTTTTTTCTATATTTTTTGCCCTCTTGTCTGAATTTTTCATTCTATTTCCTTCTTTTTCTTCTTCATTTTTTCTTTCTCTGTCTATGTGATTTTCGTTCTTTGCGTTCTTTCTTTTTCCATGTTTTTTATTCTTTCTCTCTCTCTCTCTTTTCGTCTTTCGTTCTTACTGTCTGCGATCGATGAAGGATGAATATATATCGTTCCGGTTAATATGCTCGTTTCTAATGTAACAGAGGGACGGGCACGTGGTAATCAAGTTCTCCGCTACGATCGAGATAAGCGGCTGTATTCGGATACTTGGAGACGGTGGTTGCCAACGTTGATCAAGGGAACGAACCTCTTCGCCGCGAGATTATACCGCTTACCGTGACGAACCTAATTTACGGCTAATTTTAGATAATAATATCGAGGGAATCGTTGAACGTTGGACGATGTGGGTTTCGAGAGGTTTCGAGACTTTTTTTTTTCTTTTTCGCGTAATCCGTGAAAAAGTGATTGTTTCGAACGGATCAAATTTTTCCGTTTCGTGATGAATTTTTTATTTTTTAAATTTCATGGTTTCATAGTGATTTATTTCAATTTGTTATTTGAAAGATATTAAATGAGATAAGAAAGATAATTTTAACAGTCTTAAGTTAAGAATATTCGTGGAAAGATATCAATTTGCAAATGCATAATTTCAATTATTAAACTTTTGAAAATTTTGTAAGTGTTGAAAATTTGTGAAAACAATTTATACGGAACAATTTCCTCGTGTATTTTCAACCTCGTGTATTTTCAAAGATGTTATTACAATAACACGAATTTGATTACAATCGATTATTTTGCAAATATTCTATTTTTAAGTTCAGTTTAATATATTGCAGAGCTTCGAATGGTTATTTTTCGAAAATAAACCTTCCTTCACCAAAACATTAAATTTCACGTTCGAGCTTTCGTTCGACGTAAAATTACATTATTAATATTTTGTTAAAGCGCGCATAAATCTCTAAAAACACCGAATGTAAATTTCTAATGGATTTCAAACCGGTGGCTGTCCACAATTATTCTAAAGTCTTCCCTTTGATGCAATCGAAATATTACTTTGCCTTACACATTGCACGACAATGATGAGAAGAAATCCAGAAATGTTTAAATTTTCCAACTACTTACGACTATAAACTATTTATTGTAAAGGTGCAAGATAAAACATTTTTAAAAAAAAGTTCTTCTTGCTTCAAAAAAAAAAAAAAATTCTTACGATTCCAAATTCCAAAATTTTAAAATTACATTTCCAAGAACTCACGTCAAACATTCGAAAATTTTCCAAAGGATCAACTATTTTTCAAATTTTGTCCTCTCGTCCCACGATTTCAGATTTCATCGAGGAACAAATTC